AAATATATGTTAGTATTTTCAACAAAATTCCATCTAGACTCTTCTGAAACAACTTTATTTTGATACGAAACGATTCCTCGTGAAATTCTACATCTAGTAGATCATGAACCAACCAAAATTAACGAGGGCCCAAAAATGACCCTTATACGCCCCCATCCTTTCAATGATGATCAATAATCAACTCGACATCATCAAATAGCAACAACTTAAAGAAAATAAAAGAGAATCAAGGTAATGTTTGACTTCAACAAAAAATCAATGAATAGCTTCTATCACGTTTTCATTTTGAAAAAAAGAGTATCGACAGCAAAGGACGAAGAGCTTGATTTATACGTGCTCTAGAGAATAAAGAAGTAAAACTTGTTGATAAATATTTAGTTACAAATAATAATGGCTATGGTTATCCTTCGAGACGATGGAGAACACTTTCAAGAGACGACATAATAGGTGATTGTGAATATTTATTAAGACAGACCGAGCAAAATTCGCGTGTAACTCTATATCGAATGGCACAGACACAATGTGAATCTACGACTAAAACTTCTCATATTCAATTTCAATACACATCAATCAGTCATTGAACGTTTATCTAATGAAATACCATACCGCTTGAATGCAACTCTCTTCTATGCGATTGTATACAAACACTTCAAAGTTCAATTTTACAAGGCAATCCAAGTTTATTCTATCGAGTTAGAATTGAAAAATTGGTTAAATTTATGACGGAGTTGCTGCTCTCTAATGTCGTAAAACAGCTGTATCAATTTTTGCGACATTGAGTCAAGATGAGAAAAAATTTATTGAAGGAGACTTTAGTGTAAAGACTATGTTGACGAAGGCCTGTAACTGTGATGATGAAAGAGCTGAGTTATCTTCATAGGTGAATGGTGTATTGTTGAGTGTCACTCGGAAATTGGTTTTTCAGAATCACATGTTTATTTCTACACCTTCAAGATTAGAATAGCTTGTATTTCACCGATTGTAGTTAATACGAAGCATGTTTCTCGATGCAAGAGACTGTTGAAGATTAAAATGTCTGCCATTCATTTTTCGTCGATAAACTCGAAATAAATTTTCATTAGTTCGTTGAATATTTTACTTTGGTGTCGATTGATTGTCCTTTTGTTCTTCTAAATTAATTTTAGAGCAAACCGATATCTCAACCATAATGCTGCTAGAATTATAGTAACATTTAATAACCCACGATCCAAAAGTAATTGTTGAAATGTTAAGACATGATTCTCCGCTTAAATACATCGTAGAGAGTCAAATCTTTTTATTAAAAAGAGCGTTGTCTGAAGTAGAAATTTTGTACTGGACATATTTTTCCAGAAAGAATTTAAGAAGGAAGAAAAAAGCCAAAAACTAAAGACCTCTAAGAAAGTTCTTGCAACTTTGCCAGTGAGCAACATCATCTTTTACTGCTATTTTTTTTAATACTAGGAGGAAATGAAAAAATACTTTTAATGATGATTCTTGTCGGTCAAAGATCAGTAATGGACATGAAAATTTCTAACAATGCTGACATTGATGAGAAAAACACATTTTCCAGTCACAAATCAGTTGCAAGATCCTTTTTAGGGTTTTTTTGGGTTTTGATTTTTCCTCCTTCTCAGACTCATTCTAAAAAACATGGCTGGTACAAAATTTGTAGTTCAGACAAAGCTATTTTTGATTAGGAAAAAAATTGACTCTCTACAATGTACCTAAGCTGAGAACCATGTCTCGGCATCTGGACAATTTATAGTAGATTACAAAAAACAAGAAAAATTTTTCTTCGTGTTCTCAGAAATAGTTCATTATTGTTCGAACAAGGCAACAATATCTCACTTGAAGATGACTGTACTCAATATCAAAAATAAAATGATGTTCTGTACCATTAATTTCTTTATCATACTGCTCTTCATGATTGTGTGTTCGAGAGTCCCGTGTTAAAGTATTCAAGGAAAAATCAGATTAAAATCGATTTAAAAGTTATCCAAAGTCGTTTGAACTCATGGACCTTGTTAATCAATCCTTAATCAAAATTTACTGAGTATTTCAATTAATTCGAATTAACTTTTTTCCATTTTCAAAAAAAAAACGAACTTTTCTCTCGAACGGTTTAAGAAGCTGGAATTCTCAGGATTAGTTTTTGGTTGAGATAGGAATACCACACCACTAAGAAAACAATTTATTATTGAATACTTTTGAAGATTCAATATTGCCGAGGAATCCATAGAAAACCACAGCAAAAAAAGGTCGAAAAAAATGATTTCGAGCTTTTGAGACGAAAACGATCAAACCTACTAAAACAACAAATGGTTTTGATTCGAGAAATGAGTTTAAAATGGATTTTTTCTATCAATAATTGAAAAAGTGATCGAATCTATTTAATTTCACAAGGAAGAATTTGAGAAGAAGGAAGACATCAATCATTTCTAGAATTGCACAGAAAAATTAATTTCTTATTCTTTCTCAAAATCAAAGAAGTCTTTGCAGCAATCAAAAAGAAGAATTCTCATGGAAAACAAAAGTCTTTCATTTCTTTGTCAAATAATTTTCGATCAATTTAGTTGAAGGTTTGTTGTTTAAGGGAAAATCAAATGATTGAAATTGGTCAGACTAGTTCATTTAAATGATTTTTTATCCAAAAGTTCTTTTATTTAATCTTTAATCAACAAATAGAAATTTTTTGAAAAGAAATAATTTCTTTTTCTTGTTATTATTAAAATAGGTGGTTCTCAATGAATTCCTTTTCTTATTGAGTTAATTCAATCATTTTACGAATTTTTATTCACGCGAACTATTCTTAAGTAAGAAAAAAAAAGATATTTTTCAAATTGGAAATATTTAAGGGGACTAACTGGAAGTTCCCACTTCCGTTGATAATAGTGCCATTAATCATCAAGTCAAATAAGTAGGCCGAACTTTTCAACTACACGGATTTGGATGTGAATACAAGTGTTAATGAGGGAAGACAACAGCACCCACACTCACATCCTCAAGACAGCTTTGCGAATTTTTTGGGGGTTTTCGACCGTCACCAGCACGTACAAGTTCACTTGCATAGACAAAACGAAGTTCACACTATTGATTAGACCTTCTGAGTAGAATCAAGTTTGTTTATGGTTCCTCTACTTCATTCTCATCTCTTGTTGACAGTTCAATATCCAATATGAGTGGTTAAATCAAGTCAACATCATCGTCATCGTGAATTACAAAAAACTTGTCACTCAATGGTCAAGATATCGTACGTCAACGGAAAATAACGGAGTTTACATTACAAGTAGAATAATGAAGGTAACGTTTTCTGTTATTTTCACGTTTTTATTTATTATATAATAATGAGACATCAATAAACATAGTAGTTTAAAAATCGAAACGTCAGCTATGAGTGTGGACTACCACGGCTCACATTCTTTTAGTTTTTTTCAACTTTGGGTGAACCGTTTTCATGTTGTTTAATATCAATTATTTTAAATGAAGAATATGGTAGAACCAATACTTCTTTTTCATCTTGAAATAGTGATATATGTTCAATATCTAATGCTGTTCTTTCATTACATATTTCATACATACATATTGTACTTAAGGGATCATCTGTATCACTGTTGTAGCGAAGGAATCCTAATGCTATATCTTTTTGCTTTGATGTCGATGAAAATGTTTTAGTTAAAATACGTGTACCTCTTTTGTATTGTTTGAAATCATTATGAGTAATCATCATACCACGAAATGTTACTCCAGTATATGAAAATGTTTCCAATTTCGGATGGCGAGCAATGATTCCAATATAATACGCTCAACTAATATTCTCTTTGGCAGTTAGGTTATCGAGCTGTAATCGTGCTAGATGAACATTGAGCGTAGAATAAAAACCAGTCTCAGCTGTATATGCTTGTAATAAATAAACGGGATCTTTTTCGTTTATTGCCATATCAAAATATTGTTTAATTGTATTGATACCATCAATATCTTGTAAGTCTTGTTCAAGATATTATTTTTTAATATAAGCAATCAACTGATAAAACTGTGGATCTGTGCCATATGTTTTCAATTTTTCCCAATATTCAGATGCCTGCAAGTCTGTATCATTTGTAGAGAGAATCCACTCGATCGACGCGTCACTGACAAACAGAGTCCTATTCATACGACGACGAATCAACTGTTTTATTTTATCAGTTTTAGCGTCGTCAAGCAGAGTACAATTATATTTATTTACTGTTGAGTAACAAGCGCCTTTCTGTAATAACAGCTCAACAATCTTCTCATGTCCCCCATATGCAGCTACATGAAGTGCAGTGGAGCCATTTGGTTCCATTTGGTTAATTTCTTCCAGTGACATTCTTTGCAAATAATGTTCAACGAAACGGATATTATTGTCTCGGCATGCATTATAGAAAGGACTAGTGGTTGAAGCAGTAAATGATGAATCTGTGAAGAGATAAAGCCTTTTATAGTAACTGAGAAACAATAGATAATTTCTGTAACCAAATACTATAACACATATTCTTCATTCTATCTTCTTTATGTAAATATGTGAGTTTTACAATGCACTGTTTCTCGAAAATTAGATATGAAAGTATTTGGTTTTAATGTATCTAAGAACTTTTTAGAAAAATCATCAAAGCCTTTTGTAGAAACATGTGAGAACCATTTGAAAGACCTAGCTTCTCCTTGTCTAAGAGTATGGGTGTGGGTGTGGGTGTGGGTGGGTGTCGGTGTGGGGTGTGGGTGTAGGTACAAATGTAGATATTTGTGAGAGCGTGGGGTTAGGTATGAATGAGGATGTTGGTTTAGCTCTGTACTAGATCAATATTCACACCCACACCTGCACTCCACACCCACACCCTCAAGATTTGTTTCGAAACATGTGAAACACTTTTCTATTGATATTATCTAGATGTTAAAAATTAATAAATTTATTTTTTTAGCAGCAGTATTCGAATCATTTATCTGATTAATCATCAACAATTTTTACGGAGTGCTTGTTTATTTTCACTGTTTATTAACATAGATTATTCATGTTGACATAAATTATTGTCCTAAACGAGCCATCGATAAGACAGTAACGATTATATTGATTATCGTTTTTATATCAAACTGTATCAGAATTGATTGGATACTCATTACAAAGAATATAATGATAATTTTATTTTTTTGATTTATTTATGAAATGATAAATCTTGAAGTATTGAAATTCTATCAATCAATAGAAATATTTCATCTCAATTCATATGAAGAAGAAAAAAACAAATTAACGTTTAATATTGAAACACTTTTCTATAGATGTAGGAATAATAGTAATATTTAATTGGAAGAGGATTCATAGTTACTTATATTCATTAAACTGTGATTGAAACAAAATCTTATTTATATTAACTTCGATATCAATTCAAATATTTACTTGAATTAAAGAATTCTTTTCTACGATGAATATTTCATTCAGTTCGATGTTTGACAAAGATTGATTAATATCAGTCGAAACATAAATTCTTTAAAATTATATCTCAAGATTTATCTTTTATTCAAATCTTACATATAATTTATGATAAATCATGAACAGACAAGCTATATTCATTGAATACGTTAATTACATTTTTTCATGGTAAACTTCTTTATCTAAAATTGTTATATCTACACTACGATGAAGAATTTTTAAATAAAAATTGTTGATCTACTTTGTTTACTAAATCTCTGCATTAATTCTCAATTACTCTAAATGATAAGAGACAATTTTACCATTGATAAAACATCTTGATTTAGATAAATAATTTGTTTACTTAGTAAATTTTATAAATTGTTTCAGAAAAAGAATAGATTTTCTATTATTTACTATAATTCAATACAAAAACAAAGAGATAATTCTAATTATCTTTTTCTCAACATCGATGAAAAATGATTACTTATCTTTTATATTTAGATATAATACTTTTCGAAAATATGTTTATGATAAGTCGTTTTAGAATTATCGACAACAATGTTTTTTTCTTTGCTCAACAATCTCATACATATTTACAAACAAAATTATTCTCCTATCTATAATAAAAGATAAAACCTCGTTTACAATTCAAACAATCGATGGTTTGTCTTCTATCTACAAAGGATGGAGGGCGTATAGCGCTGGAAATGGTTCCCTTTTAATTTAGGTTACTAATACCATTGAATTATATACCAATTGATAGAGAAAAGTATCCTGATCATTTTTGTGCTAAATTTGATGTGTTTTGATAAGATTTTGATTGTCCTTTGACTCTTGCATTATTCTATACCTTCAGTGATTAGTTGATCAAAAACACTTAATAATATTATGAGGAACCTTTTGAAGACAGAAAGTTAAAAATTGACATTAATTCAATGAGTTTTTGATAGATCTTTCATCAGACTACATTTGCCTTATAAACTCGATTTGGGTGTGAGTGTGGGTATACCGCTTGTGAAGAAAATAGACACACCTCCATCCGGTGTACTTATACATATGCGTTTTTTACTTCTCTTAAACTGTGTAAGCTCACACATTCATATTTTAAAAAAATTCTGTGTTTCAAATAAACGAGCTATAGTCAAAACTGATAATGAAATTCATCGTCATATGTGAAAGTCATTTTCAAACATTATGTTTATTATTGTTAGTATTCTTTATTTTCGTAGAGCGAATTTCAATTCAAGTGGATCGCTTCCATAACACCTATTCGTTCGGACATACTATTTACCCCCAAATTGATTTTCATTTAGATTCTACATCATTTGTATAATCGATGTATGACTAAGACAGCATAATAGATCCGGATCGTGATAACAATCCGTATACGAGTTTGTCTATTGCTTGACATACAAACGGTTTTTGTGCGATTGGCTGAACAAAAAACATTACTAGAACACAATATGAGTTTTAAAAGGAAATCAAGATTAAAACAGTAATAATGAATGTCATTGATAACGTTGAGAGAAAAATGACTCGTTGTTACGGGCTTTCCCCTCACATATACCATCATCTTTTCTTTCTGTTGTTTTCCTATCTTCTTTCGTTCTCACCTTCTTCGTTTTCTTGTTTGCACTGATTTCACCTCTATATGTTTTTTCTTTTCATCTAGTCGTCCACTACTATATACATTTATACATGTTTCCCTGTATAGTAAAAATATATATAAATATATGTGTGTGTGTACATTTTTCAGTTAGTCAGTGTTGTATCAAAATAAAGAAGTAGGGTGAACCATCAAGACCCTAATACTCGTCTAAACTGATTTAGTACACAGCTAGTTGAGTCTCAAACGAAAGTATTTGTATATATATTATTATCAAAAGGTTCGTTTCCAATGCCGTAAAAATCGGTTTTCAATCTAAAAATATTTTCATATGAGGTTCAAATAGCAGCACAATATGTTAATCAAGATACACTAATTTATTTCGTCGTTATTCAGATAACTTGCTTTACTTGAAACTTACTATTGCTGCTTCCACGGCTACCATGACCTTCTTCTCTATCATCATCTGGATACTTAACTACTATTGTCAGCAGAGTCACGATGAAAATTAGATAGGTTCGGATATTCATTGTCTAATCTTGCACGAGATATCTTCCGATGAATGCAACTCGATACTAGTCGCTACAGTCTGTTGTGTGACGTAAACAAACAAGAAGTGAATTCTATAAAGAAAATCAATATAGATTGACTCAAACAATAAGAAATGTATAGAACTTCTGTTAAATAATTGAGTCTCATGAAAGCAAATAAACTTGTGCAAAAAAGTCTAAATCATGCGCAATCAATAGAGATTCGCAAGAAAATATGAAAGGATAATCTTTTCGTGATCATTTCATTACAAGCTATGGATTAATTGATTTTTTTTTATCTATGAATAAGAATTTTTAAAGTGTACACACATAAGCAATTGAATTCTATCGATTCAAAGTATTTAAATATCGATATCTTATCATATTATGATGCTGTCTTGTTTTTATATTAAACCAATACCTGCCACCACTTCGTAAAGATTCTAAGACACTTGCCCTTTCAGATATTTGTTAGATTTCTCAAACGCTAATTAAAACTTAAGGTTTTTTCTTTGAAAGTAATTGAAAATCTTGATGTTAAGCTTAAAATCAATCGAAACACATGAGCAATATCAAAGTGAAGTGCTTCACAACAGTAGTAGACAATCAAGATGAAGCTAAACAATTAAACAAAAACTTCTATGTTGATAGTGAGATTCAACATAAAATGTTAATGATTTTTTTTTTAAACACAATCTGCCATAATTTTTATAGAGCATGTTTTACTGATGATTTCGTTGAACTCATGACAGTGATAAAAGTCGGTATTAACTAAATTTTCAATGAAAACCTATTAGAAACGAAAGTTTTGAGAGTTGGTTGGTTTCGGATATTGGACCTCTGAGTGAGGAAATAAAATCAAAAGTTTTTTTTATTCAGTGTCTGGTATAATTCATGATCCCACAAATTTCTCCTTCAGTGTGGATGGAGCATATATATATGTGTGTGTAGTATTTTGTTTCATTTTCTTCGATTCGATCGTAAATGTGTTATTTTTCTCTTGAAAATGATGTTAAAAAAGACCATCGACAGCTGGAGTTCTTATTAAGTACAAATCATAAAATGTTAATTGCTGTTTTGAAATCTATTTTATTTTGATCAATTTTATTCGGCTACTTATTTTCAAATAATAGCTGTTCCAGAATGTATACAAAGAGTGGTGGTCACTT